GAATTAGTTAATTGGTAAATTTAGGGATTTGAAAATTTGTTAATTGAGGAATTTGTTCATCTGGGAATTTAGAAATTGGTGTTGAAAATTAGAAATTGAAACTACAAGTGCAAGTCTTGAAATGACATTTTCTATTATGAATCTAATCAAGAGTGACTTGCGCAACAAAATGAATGATAATTGGTTGAATGACAATTTGGTAGTATACATTGAGCAAGAAGTTTTTTAAAAAATTGATAATGAGACAATCTTGCAGTGCTTTCAAAATATGAAACCACTGAGATTCCAATCAATTACCTGGGCGTACAATTATGAAGTGAAGTTGTATTACTTATTTTTCTTTTTTATTTCGGATTGTATTAGATTATATTTTCATATTATATCATTCATACATTTTAGTGTATTCATATATTAATCGAACAAGTTTTAATATTATTTAATTAAAAATTAATAATCAATATCGTCATTCTTGTTGTTACGGTCAACAGTCAATTATGGTTGACCGCCCATACTGGACTTCAGGGCTGGATTCGCAATTGTCCCTTTCCAGCCTTTTTATTTCCCTCACCTAACTAGCTTGTTCAGTCACTTTGCATTCGTAACAGTTTTTGTTGCTCCCTAACACTTGTCAACAGGCCTTCAATTCTTCCTAGCTCTTCTAAAATAAGTGTATCGAATGGGAAGCTTTTCATAGAGATAACATGAACAATCGATCGATTTTTGTAATTGGAATACCACTTTTTAAGGGAAAAAAAAAACTTAAAAAGGATATTCTTAATTTGAAAAACACTTAAAAGTTTTGGGATGTTCTCTTTATGTTTCAATTTTGTGTTTTGAGTTTTGAATTCATTTTTGATTTTATGTTTTGAGTGTTCATTTTGAGATTGTTGAAAATGTGTTCTTTTTGATATTTTGAAAAATTGTTTTGGAAACACCCAAAACGCGTTTTGAAAATTTTTGTTTTATTATAACTGAAAACACCCAAAACGACAAATTGAGTTTTCTTTGTAAATTTTTAATTTGTTTTCAAAAATACGTTTTTGAAAATAGGAAAGAGAACGCATTTTCACTGTTTTGAAAAATCTAAAATAGAAAACGATTTAAAAATGATAAAGAGAACAGACCCTTCTATTTTAGTACTATATTTAACGTACAAGTTCAAAGCCTAGTTTAACTCAGATTTTTCGGTCTTTTCACTTTTTTCCACAAAAAGTACTTTAAAAAAACTTCTATATAATATAGCACACATTGACTGAAGATCCTGGTTTGACAGATTGGAGGCCCTTTTTTTCCTTAACGTGAATGGCGCCTTGAATTCTCGTTGTTAAATGATAATTTGGTAACAAGTACAAAGCTGTAACCCATTTCCTCACTCAATTATTTGAAAAATTAAAAGAAAAAATAATGGGGGCAGAGAGGAGTGTGATCGTGTTGTGGCACGTTTGACAAAACTTTTAAAAAAATTAAAAGTTATTTTTGTACATGTTTCTATAATTTTATGAAAGCGATTTGTCTGATTATAAGAACTTTTAAAGAACATGCTGCTCATCTACAAAAAGTAAAAATTCTACCGAACGACCCTACGAATGATTTGTATAAGCAAGAAAATTCATATAAAATGCATTAACACAATAAACACAATCAAATTAATAATAAAGTATATTAACTTTTGAGTGTCAAAGAAGCGTCAAATTAACTTTGCAACTAATGCTCATTATTATGGTATAATATGTCAATGTTTGGTTCAGATTAAAATCAGATTTTAATGTAAGTTAAAGTCAAATAATTAATATCAATCACATCTTTCGTGGGTTCCACAACTTTTCAACCGCACGTTTCAAAAACTTCTATCACAATCTACTAAAAATTTAATTTTAATCTTGGGCCAACTTCTTTTTTCCATGAAAATTGAATTTTAACCAATATATAAATATATTTAAAAGAAATTGGATTAAAACTGAGTTGATATTAATTTTACAGACATAACCTGTTTCTCCCTATTCTTGCAGGAAGTGTTTCACCAATCACTCACAGTGAAAGTAAAGTGATAAAAAGAAAAAGCAAAATAATTATTTCATCACACTTTGATTCCATTTAGAGTGAAGAACAGCAATCATTTACACTCATTTCTCCTTCTTTTAATAATTATTCATCCACTTCTCCAATGATTCTTCAAACAGTATTCAACCTGTTTCGTTTAGCTAAAAATAAGATTTCAGTAGATTTTGATTGGAAATATGTTCGAGAAAAAATAAATTTTAGAAAAAGGAAACGAGCCAAACGGGGACTAAAGCATTCGAGATTAGATTTGGCTTTTATTAAAGAAGTGAACTTATTAAACATTGAATTATCCTACATCCTACGTTATTCTCTTGAAAAATGGATGTTCATTTTTTGTGCCTTCTCCTTCTCTCTACTACACTCTTGACACTCTCCCACTCCGCCGCCGCCGCCACCAATGACACCGCCGCTCTCTTCCTCTTCCGCTCTCAAACGGACCACCATGGCACCCTCCTCTCCAACTGGACCACAACCACCAACAGCACCACCGCATGCACGGCCAATTGGGTTGGTGTAAAGTGCATTAACAACCGTGTCACTGCCCTCTCCCTCCCCTCCCTCAACCTCCGTGGTCCAATTGATTCCCTCTCCTCCTTAGATCAGCTCCGCCTCCTCGACCTCCATGATAACCGCCTCAACGGCAGCCTCGCTCCTACCACTCAGTGCCTCAATCTTAAGCTCATCTACCTGTCTAGCAATGATTTCTCCGGTGAAATACCACCGGAATTATCCTCTCTCCGCCGTCTCCTCCGCATTGACCTATCCGACAACAACCTCAGAGGCGCCATTCCCACTCAATTCTTCAAACTCTCCCGCTTGCTCACTCTTCATCTCCAGGACAATGAACTCTCAGGGACTATCCCCGAGTCCCTTGGCTCACTTCCACAGCTGAACGACTTGAACTTGTCGAACAATATGCTCTACGGAATGGTACCACAGATCCTTATATCTCGGTATGGCGAAGCTAGCTTTTCAGGCAATGAAGAATTGTGTGGGACTAGTCCTTTGCCCCAGTGTTCATACACCGGTGTATCACCGGCTTTTGCGCAAACAGTGCCATCAAATCCCAGCTCTTTTCCTTCGTCAGTCCAAGAACCAAATAAGCATAACAAGAGACTTAGCAGCGCATCAATAGTAGCAATTGTGGTGGCAAATTCAGTTATCCTATTGGTGATTACATCATTTGTCATAGCATACTACTGCAGAAGGCAATCCAGTAATGCCAAATCAATGACAGGGAGTGATGGTGGCACAAGGCGAAGCAGTTATTCCGGTGAAAAGAGAGTGTATGCTAATAGTGGCGGAGGTGGAGATAATGATGGCACTAACGGTACTGATAAGAATAAACTGGTGTTTTTCGATAGGAAAAAAGAGTTTGAGCTGGAGGATTTGCTTCGTGCATCGGCTGAGATGCTCGGAAAAGGGAGTTTAGGAAGTGTTTATAAAGCTGCTCTTGATGATGGACTTACTGTGGCAGTGAAACGGTTAAAGGATGCAAATCCATGTTCGAGGAAGGAGTTTGAACAGTATATGGATGTGATTGGGAAGCTTAAGCATCCCAATATTGTGAGGTTCAGAGCTTACTATTATGCAAAGGAAGAAAAATTGTTAGTCTATGATTATCTCCCTAATGGCAGCTTAAATTATCTTCTTCACGGTAATTGTCAAACTATCTCATGATACTTTTATTTATTAAATGCCTGTTTTTATCAATGTTGTTCGGCTTATGATCTTGATGGTAATAGGAAATAGAGGACCAGGGAGAATTCCATTGGATTGGACTACCAGAATCAGCTTGATTTTGGGGGCGGCTCGAGGGCTTGCCATAATACATGAACAGTATGCAGCCTTGAGAATTCCTCATGGGAATGTGAAATCATCCAATATATTACTTGATAAAAATGGTGTTGCTTGCATTTCTGATTTTGGATTGTCATTACTTTTGAATCCTGTTCATGCAATAGCCAGATTGGGAGGATACAAAGCACCAGAACAGACAGAAATCAAGAAACTGTCTCAAAAGGCAGATGTATATAGCTTTGGAGTTTTATTGTTGGAAATCCTTACTGGCAGGGTTCCATCACAGTACCCTTCACCGGCATCTCATTCGGTCAATGAGGTGGACGAGGAATGGACCGCAGTTGATTTGCCTAAATGGGTTCGATCTGTAGTCCGGGATGAATGGACGGCTGAAGTGTTTGATCAAGAACTGTTGAGGTACAAGAATATTGAGGAAGAACTGGTGTCAATGCTGCATGTAGCAATGGCTTGTGTAGTGCAACAGCCTGAAAATAGACCAACGATGAGTGAAGTGGTTAAAATGATAGAAGAGATTAGAGTGGAAGAATCTCCGTTAGGAGATGATTATGACGAATCGCGTAATTCTCTCTCACCCTCACTTGCCACCACTGAAGATGGATTGGTTTAGCTTACCCGTCGGTTCATTCACCTCCGTTTCCCAATCGAGCATGTCTACCAATTTCACCATAATGACTTAGAATGTCGTGAGATCGTTCGATCTATATACAAAGTTCAATCGTTTCTAAAATTGCACCATCTTAATGCAAATTTATTGCTGTTATTATCCCATTCCTTGAGGATATGGATTCGTTTTAAGTCGTCTGCCTGTCTAATTTACAATGTTGTATGCTGCTATGTCCTTTCATTATAGTTCAATCTAAACAATGAATTGTATTGTAACTTATTTTTGTTTCAATAAAAAATATATTTGAAAGCAACTTATTTTAATTTTACATTCAATTTGTAATTTAGTTACAATTTTTGTTGGGGAAGAATCTTATCTTTTTATCATTTGTTTTGAATTCCAAAGTGACATTTAAATCTCAGAAGGAAAAAAGACATAACTAGAATTAACGTGCTTTTACAGTCTAAATATTCATCCAAATTGTTCAGTATCGATAATAATCACAAAATAACAGTTATATGATTTGTTGATATCAAAAAATGCGCCAACAAAATCCTCGCCACTTTCCTTCCACATGAACATCATTTGCACACTGAAACACCCCATTAGAGGCAAAGACCACAATTGAAGAAAAGAGTCCGGCAATCATTTGTACTCCGACAATCTAGTCAACGACCGACGAAAGAAAAATGAGTGTAAGGGATGGGAGAAGGAATTTGGCTAAAGTTTGAGAACATACCTTTGATTGTGAATGGATTCACTTATATATATATATATATAGAGAGAGANAGGCCAATGGTTGCTAATTAAATTGGCCCAAATCCAAGTCCAATATGCAATTGCTTAATAAAATAGGCCCAATTAATTGAATAGTCGATGTCACGTTGACATATATAGGACCTCCTCCGTCTAAACATGCCATATAATTTATGCGTAATAATAATAATCCCCCCAAGTCCGAGTCATACATTTATGTGCTGGTCAAACTTCAAAATATAAGTTGTGTGTAATCTAGATCTTATAAATTGTTTCAAAAATATGAGTAGATTCAATAAGTGAGGACTTACGAACTCTCTCGAAAATATATATCGATCCCAAATAGGCGACGACTTATGAATTGCCTTGAGAATATAAGTTGCTCGAATAAGTAAGGACTTATGATCTGCCTCTGAAATATCTGTGTGAGGCTGAATAAGTAAGGACTTACAGATTGCCTTGAAAGATGTATATATATAAAATAAATTGAGACCCCATTTGCCCTTCAAATTACTCATGATTATAAAGTGAATAATGACATATCATATTTTTCTAAAATATAATATGCAGAGAATCTATCATGTATTGTAGCATATCATATGTCTGCATAACCTAGTGTAATAGTAGTGCTATAGTGGAGCAACATGTTGATAATGTAGTTAATGTGACATAAGTACTGGTAGTAGTGAAAATAGCGTCATAACATGCTAGCAGTGATGTGAAGTACATACTTGACAACAATAATATAATGCATATACTAACAGTAATAATGTAATGATACAAAGATACTAGTATCACAATAGTCCCCCAAATTTGAGTTGAATATTAATATACAGGTTGGACTTGAAATATAAGTCACTGTGATGAAGTTGATGCAGAGATGAAACTAAATATATAAGCAGTCGTGTAAGTTGATACAGAGGTGATGCTCCAGATGTAATTAGCAAAGACGATTCTCTAAACATAAGTAGCAGAGACCATGCTCTGAATGCATAAGTAGCAGAAACGATGCTCTGAATGTATAAGTAGCAGAAACGATGCTCTGGACATAAGTTGCAAAGGCGATGCTCTAGACATAAGTAGCAGAGGCGATGCTCTGAATGTATAAGTAGCAGAGGCAATGATCTGGACATAAGTTGTAGAGGCGATGCTCGGGATGTAAATAGCTATGACAAGCTGACATCCTTACATGGGGGTAGCACATCCATGTCAAGGGATTCTTCCATAGTATTTGATCCATCCATGTAAGGTTTCATCTTCGCCGGTTTTAAAGTGGGCCCATTCATCTCCTTACAAAGCGGTAAATAATATAAGCTCTCTGAATATAAGTAGATGTGACATCGTTGCAGAAGCAAAGATCTGAAAGAGAGGCAACAGTAATGCAATCGATGCAGAGGCATGATGAGTTCTATGAAAATAGATATAGCTGTGTTATAGCTAACGTAGAGACGTTTCTCTGAGTATATAAGCAGCTTGTGATAAGCTAATACAGTGGCATGATGAGCACTCTTGAATATAAATGCATCGATAATGCAATTCATATGGTGATGCATCTACGAAGCGAGTAATGAATATCAAGCTGATAGGTCGTCTCGAACTATTAGAGTCTTATAAGCTAAGCACAACGATAGTGAGAGACGAAGATCAAACTTCTCGCGAAGCCAGAAATAAACATCCAGAGAGGCGGGGAATAAACATCTCGCTAAACGCTCTTAAACTATTGGAGTCTTATAAGCAGTCTCGGAATGAGAAGATCTTATAGCTAGGAACGACAACAGTTAGATACCAGGAATAAACATCTCGAGAAGCTAGGAATAAGCATCTGGCGACGCGGGGAATAAACATCCAGCGAAAAGCTCTCGAACTATCAAAGTCTTATAAACTGACCTCGAAATGACGAGGTCTTATAGTTAGGCTCGAAGACAGTGAGACGCGAGAAATAAAGACGTTGCTAAGCCAAGAATAAGCATATGGTGATGCAGTAAATAAACATCCCGTGAATAGCTCTTAAATTATCGGAGAGTCATAAGCTAGCCTCGAAAGGACGATATCTTATAGCTAGGCTCAACAATAGTAATACACGATGAATAAATATCTCGCGAAGCCAGAAATAAAGATATGACGAAGCAGGGAATAAACAACCCTCGAAAAACTCTCGAACTATGAGAGTCTTATAAGGTGGCCTCGAAATGAACTCCAGAATATCAACCGAGCTGTTCTGTGAGACGCCAGGAATAAGCATTTCGAGAAGTTAGGAATAGGTATTTGTGAAGTAGGGAATAAACATCCCAAGAAAAAGGTGTAGAACTATCGTAGTCTCATAAGCTTGCCTCGAATAGATGAGGTCTTATAGCTAAACTCGACGATAGTAAGAAGCGATGAATTAACATCTCGCGAAGTCACATGTAAGCATCTGGCTAAGCGGGAAATAGACATCTCGCAAAAAGGTCTCGAACTATCGAAATCTTATAAATTGGCATCGAAATAACGAGGTCTTATAGCTGGCTCTACGACAGTAAGACGTGAGGAATAAAGATCTCACGAATCTAGGAATAACCATCTAACGAAGTGGGGAATAAACATCCCATGAAAAAGGCCATAAAATGCTCATTTTCAAGGGCAATTACACCTGAATTTCACCTCTTCCTTTATTCAAGGAAAGAGGACTCCAAGATAATATAACTTCCTTTATTCAAGGAATGAAGACTTATAAAATGTCACATCCGATAATAAGAAATCCAAGATCTAGCCTTAGCTAGAATTCATAATTATGTCGCCATTTGAAGTCCCCAAAGGGCACAAGAAAAATAAATCCTTAGTCCATTTCGCACTGTCTAATCCATATCATAAATATAATTCTCAATGCATATCCAAGAGTTAGAGGTTGGAGGGCTTGATCAGAAGTTGTTGAGGTAATACAAAGATAACCAAAGAAGCTAAAATATCGTAGCATAAAGAACATTTTGCCCCTTATGAACGACATTCGGGTGATAAAATATCAAACTGAGTGATAGCACGACTAGCTCATAATAATGCTTCAAGTGACCCACTTAATTGATTTATTCCATATTTGAATTTATAATACCTCCCAAGTACTTTTCCTTTGGAGACCAAAAAGCCAGAATATATTTATCGCAAGTCCAAAGAAAATGATGGCGGCTGACTTGGCTGCTCTTCCACTTAAGTTATAGCCTCTACAATTACGGGTTAAAAGAATGCATTAACTTTCAAGGCATGGTGATGACATTTTTTAAACCTTGCTGTAATAATTTTTGCTTATAAAAAATATAAGCCCCTATCAGAAGCAATAGCCGGATTGGGTTCATAAATTTGGAAGAAATAATAGTTGAAATGTCTAAGATGACTTAAAATGGCAAGAACAAGCTGAAGTACCTAACGGGTCCAAATGCATTGCATAAAATTAATGTCCTATGACCCAAGGAAAATAAATATCCAACAAACAAGTGGGAATAAATTGTGGGAAAAATTCACAACTCATGCTTTATCTATCCAAAAATCAAAAATCAGACCCCAAAATTTAGAAATGCAAAAATCAAGTTTTTCATGAATTAATTAATTATATTTCACAATTATTATATTAAATTAAATATTTAACTGTAATAT